TATTTATTTATTTGACAGAGAGAGAGGGACACAAGCAGGGGGAGTGGGAGAGGGAGGAGCAGGCTTCCCGCGGAGCAGGGAGCCCGATGTGGGGCTCGACCCCAGGACCCTGGGATATGACCTGAGCCGAAGGCAGACGCTTAACAACTGAGCCACCCAGGCGCCCCTGAAGGTAGCTTGTTAAAAATAGTTTTGTTGTCTCTTCTGCTGATAAAATTCATCTATGCCTTTTAAGAAATAAAGGCAAACCTAGGGAAGAAAAATAGATGATCTGTTATCTCACTACTTAGCAGTAGCCAACCACTGTTAACATTTTGGTTTCTGTCCTTCCATTCCCCTGCTCTATGCGTGATGTGTTTTTTTCATGTAATATATCATGGATATCTGTCTCTGTCAATAAATACAGATCTGCATCATCACTTTTAATAATCACATTTTGCTCCACCACTGCAGAAATGGTCCACGTGTAGTCTAGCCCACCCCCTATAATGCACATCAGTAACCATGTTATGCTATTATACTCAATACGCTCATGAATTTCTTTACACGTTTTAATTTTTTTAAAGATTTTATTTGAGAGAGAGTGAGAGCAAGAGAGTGCACAAGCAGGGGGGGAGGGGCAGAGGGAGAGGGAGAAGCAGACTCCCTGCCAGATACAGGACTCGATCCCAGGGTTCTGGGATCATGACCTGAGCCCAAGGCAGACGCTTAACTGACCAAGCCACCCAAGTGCCCTACACATATTTTAGTGAATTTACCCTATTATTTTCTAAGGTTGAATTTCTGTGTGATAGAGCACAGGGTAAGCATGTTTAAAAATTTTCATATATGTTACCCATATACCCATACCCGAGAAGGTTAGTACCTATTTAGATTCTCCACGACAGTATTCCCCTTTGTTAGCAAAGTATTGTCAGACTTTAATCTCCACCAGTCTGATAGTGGTGAAGTCTTGTTTTTCTTTATGTTTCTCTAAATATAAATGAAGTTATATCAGCCATTTGTATTTCTTATTTGGTTAATTTCCAATTATCCTTGCTCATTTTTCTATTTCAGTGTTTCTCTTACTTATTTAGAAGAACCTTTTATATATCAGGGATATTTACCTTTTGTTATAGATGTTTCAAGTAATTTTCCCAAGCCTTGTGTATTTGGCAAGGGATTTTTTTTTAAAACACTAAGAAGTCTTAAACTCATATGGTCTGTTTTCTTGCATTTATGGATTGAGACATTGATGTCAGTTGTAGAAAAGCCTCACTCATTCTGAGTTGGGTACATTTTCATCTTACATTTTTATGCATATTTTTAACATCTAATTTTTGAACCATTGGAATTCTCATAAAAGTTGTGATGTAGTAATCTCACCGTATTCAAATGCTGAAAGATAGCTACTTTATAAAAACACATTAAAATTCATTTAAACATCTCAGCAATTGACATTTTTTTCTTTTTTGTGTAAACTTTTAAATCACAAATATTGTTTGTCCCAAGTGTTGGGTACATGGTCTGATATGGATACCATATTGAAACCTGAATGAATTAAAGTGATTTTTTTTCCCCTTCTGTCAAATAGGCATCAGTAATACTTTTTACTCTAATATGTGTGTCTGTGTGTGTGTGTGTTTTATTTCCTCTACTGCATTATAAATTATTTCAGGGCTGGGTCCATACCTGATTCATCTTTACCTCTCCCATTCCCAGCCATCCATGAAGCAGACAATACTTGTGTGACAGGCACTGGTCACTGGGGAAACAGAAGAGGAGGCTGCGCCTGCCAATGAGAGGCTTGCCACGTAATGAGAAAGTCAACCACAAGTGTAATACAATAGCCCACTAATGTGATGAGCAAATGCTCTGGGGGTATGAGGACTAGGGACGCTTTCACAGAGGAATCAGGCCTAATTTGTGTTAGTCCACCAAGAGGTGGACCCGAAAGAGAGAAGCATTCTAGAAAGGTAGGGGAATGTGGGGCGTTTCAGTGACTCGCTGCTTGTGTTTAGTATGGCTAAAGCAGAGGGTACATATCTGTCTAGTCTGTCGGGATAGGACTTGAAAGACAAGGACGAGATCAGTGCTGTCTAATACAGAAGCTCCATGTGCCTATCGAGCACCTGAAATATGGCTAGTGCAACTGAGGAACCGCATTTTTCATTTTAATTACTTTAAATAGCCACACATGGCAGTGGCTCCCCCTATTGAACAGCATAAGACTAGACCGTGAGAGCCCTCCTTTACCATCCTAAGGAGTTAGGACTTCTTCCTGAGTGGGAGAGAAAAGTGGGGAGGTGGGAAAAAAAATGGGGCGCCTTGGTGGCTCAGTCGGTTAAGCATCTGACTCTTGATTTCAGCTCAAGTCATGATCTCAGGGTTGTGGGATTGAGCCCCGTGTCAGTGCAGAGTCTGCTTGTCCCCCCTCCCTCTGCTCCTTCCCCCTGTTTGTGCTCTTTCTCTTTCTTTCAAATAAATAAATAAAATCTTAAAAAAAAAAAAAAGAAAAGTTGGGAGGTGGGGAGGTGTCAGGATTCCCAGTTGTTTTGGAAAGATCACTCTAGTGTGTAAGTTCTTAACCTTTTTGGGTCTCAGTTGACTTTTTGCCAGGCACTTTCCTAGGGTTTTTTGGTACTAGGAATGCAGCAGTCAACCAAGCCGACAGAAATCTGGCCCCTTGTGGAACTTGACACATGAGCAAGAGAAATGCAGACACACACCCAGTATCTTAGAGACAAGGATAAGAGTGTGGGTTCTCATGCTGGAATCTCAGCTTTTTTGTGTACAGTCATCTTCTGTTAGCTGTGTGACCTTAGGCAAGTTACTTAGCCTCTCCGCCTCTCCTGTAAAATGTGATAAAATAGCGCCTACCTTGTGGGTCATTAAGAGGAATCAATTAATATTTGTAAGTAAGCAGGGCCTAGCACATAAAAAGCTCTATTTAATAAACAAGTAAAAGCTAAGGGAAAAAATAAAAGAGATGGGTGGAGAGGATAGCTTGATAGATTGGGTGGCCAGGGAAGGCCTCTCTGGGAAGGTGACACTGAGTGAAGACCTGGGGGAAGTGAGAAAGTGAGTCACCCAGATGATTTCTAAGCAGAGGGAGCAGCGCGTTCAGAGGCCCGGAGACCAGACAGCACCTGGCATGTTTGAAGACAGGAGGACGCCAGTATGGCTGGTGTGGAGTGAAAAGGGAGGGCGGACGATGAGATCAGAGCAGTGACAGGTGGCGAGGTTCCGTGGACCACGGAAGTCAGAGTAAAGCCTTCGGCATGTACTCTAAATGCAGTGGGAGCCACTGGAGGATTTCAAGTACAAGAGTAAGGGGATCAGGGTGCCTGGGTGGCTCAGTTGGTTAGGCGACTGCCTTCGGCTCAGGTCATGATCCTGGAGTCCCAGGATCGAGTCCCGCATCGGGCTCCCTGCTCAGTGGGGAGTCTGCTTCTCCCTCTCACCTGCCCCCTGCTTGTGTTCCCTCTCTCGCTGTCTGTCAAATAAATGAATAAAATCTTAAAAAAAAAAAAAAAAGAGTAAGGGGATCATGTGCCTGAGCAGGGACGGGGGAGTGTCAACTTCACGTGAAGAATCTGTGCCTAGGGGCGCCTGGGTGGCTCAGTCGTTAAGCATGTGCCTTCGGCTCAGGTCATGATCCCAGGGTCCTGGGATCGAGCCCCGCGTAGCAGGGAGCCTGCTTCTCCCTCTGCCTGCCGCTCCCCACGCTTGTGCTCTCTCTCTCTCTCTGTGTCAAATAAATAAAATCTTAAAAAAAGAAAAATATGTGCCTAAAGGTCTTGGATGAAGAATTGGAGAGCCACTGGGTTGACACTGCAGGTAGGAGGCTAACTTGTTAGGCTGCTATTCTGATAGACCGAGCAAGAGATGAGAAAAGGAACAGATTTTAGATAAAGTGAGGTTAAAAAAAATGGAGGGAGGAATCTGTAAGAAACTGGCTGTGAAAGGTAAAGGAGAACAAGGGGTCAGGCCTGACTCCCTCGTTTCTGGTTCGAGCAGCTTGGAAGAATTGAGACTGAGATTGTAGGGCGGGCCAGGTTAAGGGAGAAGGGAGGGAGGATTGCAGTCCAAGCGTGGGTTTTAGAACTGCTTTTCATGGGGTGGTGCATTGTTCAGATGGAGGTGTCGGTGAGTGCTTGAAGATCTCTGCAGCTGTAGCTCAGAAGAGAAGCCTGGGGTAGAGAAAGAAATTTTTGAGTGATCTGCTAATTGAAGCCGTCAATGAGACTGATCAGGAGCAGAGATCAGAGTTGGGGGAGAATGGAGCCTAGCCAGGAAGAAGCCCAGGGCACGGCGGAGCAGCCAGGCCTTTAGGAAGGAGACCTGGGGGCGTCCTTGCTGCTCAAGGGCTAGGAAGCTGGCAAGGGCAGACGGCTGTCTTGAGAGGCCTGGAAGAGGTAAAACCACAGAACCAAGGAAGATGGAAGTCTTTGGATCCAGTAGGTCAGAAGGAGGCCCTGGCTGTCAGCCCCCACTAGCCCTTGTTTTCTCTGCGAATTGTGGCCCGGGAGCTGAAGGAGTGCGAGGCGGTAGCGGGGGACGCGCCGGAGCGGACTTGGAACACGGTACCTTGTGTGGTCCTTTGTGCGTAAGCTCACCTCTCTCTTCTGTGAGTCCGTATTTCAGATTCCCATTCAGTGACTTTTCCTGCCTACTGCCCCAACCCCGGGTCTTCCTTAATTCAGTACCTATTTGATGAGCTGGTATTTTGGGGTCACTGATTGGCTTTTAGGTAGAGAGCACTAACCAGTTGCCAAACTATTACCATCTCTTTCCAATTTTAGCGAGCACCAGACTATTACCATCTCTTGATTTAGGCCTATATCTCTGACAGCATGAAATTGACTTAGAAGTGTGGTGCTCAGAATAGGCCCTTCCGCCAGCTTCAGTGCAAGGTTCGTGTCCCAGATTATGTGTGGTTGGATTTAAACCCATACTTGGTAAAAGAACATAGATGTCGTCTTGGATTGTGCCATCTTTATGACTTTTCTCACTTTCTGGAACAGGAGGTCTCTAACTCCAGGAGGACCCCATTATTTCTGTGATGGTGTGTGAGGACTGACTCCTAGAACGTTGCCTGGTCTTGGACCCATCAGCATGGGGAGGTGAGTGATGGTGTCTCATCACCAGTACTTGTAAAACCTGAGGTTTTGGTGCCACAGCAGCAGATCTTTTTTTTTTTTTTTAACATTTTTATTTATTTGACACAGAGAGAGGGAGATAGAGAGAGACAGCACAAGCGGGGGAGCGGCAGGCAGGCAGAGGGAGAGGGAGAAGCAGGCTCTCTGCTGAGCAAGGAGCCCGATGCAGGACTCGATCCCAGGACCCTGGGATCATGACCTGAGCCGAAGGCAGCCCCTTAACCGCCTAAGCCACCCAGGCGCCCCCACAGGAGCAGATCTTGAAAGGAAAAAAAAATCTGAATTCCAAGTGAAAAGTGTTCAAAGTTATGCTACACTTCTGTTTAACAACTTTGTTCTTCCAGGCCTCACTGGGGCGCCTGTTACAGAAAATGGTCATACCAGGTGGATTCTGCAGGGGTTAATGTAGCTTACAGTGAAGGGCAGGTGTGTTGGAATCTGTGAGGGGTTGTATTAAGCACAGTATAGCTGTGTGGAAGCCTTGGAGGAGTGGGCAGGGGATGACACACTCTGTGGAGTGGCCCAAGGACCCACGTGGAGACTAGACACTGCAGGTGGAAAATTCCACTAGGTTAGCAGGATATCTCCCCCTTCTGTGAGGTATTTTAGTCCAGGAAGCACTCTTTAAAGAAATTAACCACGAAACAATAACATCTATTCTAAACGTAGCAAGCTTTTTTTAAGCCTAATAATAATCTCTTAATCCTGACATAAACGGAGAAGAAAAGTGTTTATTTGCAAAAATGTCTCAAAAATAATTCTAAAAACACAGGACATACAAAACTCATTTACTGACTTTATTATGGGGATGTTATTAAAGACATTGTTTTTCTGCCATTTTCTCACTCAGTCATCGGGCTTATTTGCCTTGGGATTCAATGTTAAGAAAGTCTTCCGCCTCCTGAGCTGTTTATATGTTTCTAATCTGATGGACGAGGTTTTGGCCTCTAGACCACCTTTACAGGCCTGTCTTATTACACGTATTTCTTTGTACTGAATTGTTTCTCGGTTTCATCGTCCTTAAACAGGAGTTCATTGTAGATTTATATATTTATCATATTGAACTGACTCTTGTCTCTAAATTTTTTGGGGGGGAACAAAGTATGGTACAAATAATAATTACATAATATTGTCAAGAAAGGCAGAAAAACACAGAAGTGTCATAAACATCAGGGTGTAATTTTCATTCATGCAGTTTTATAATAATGAGTAAAATAGCAAAATAGCAATAGGGAAGATGCTGGCCTACAGATACCTCCCCGCAGGGTAACGGGTGGCTTGAGCCAAATATCTTAACCTTGAGATCCGTTTAGGTGAGGAGAGGCCTCTTTGGAGCAGATTGCTTTAAAATCTGGTTGGTTGGTTTTTTTTTTTAATTTTAGGATCGGCATCTCCTGTCTTTTTCCTGCTTCCTGGCATTTTAGCATCTCTCCAGTGGGGTGTCCTCGAATTCTGAATACCAATTTACGCCAGATTATTGTTATTAGTATCCTGGCTGCTGCTGTTTCACTTTTATACTTTTCTGTTGTTATAATCCGAAATAAGTATGGGCGACTATCCAGAGATAAGAAGTTTCAAAGGTAAGAGAAAAAACATTTCTAGATGAGATGCTTCATTTTACATTAGGGATTAGGTTGGAATTGAAGGAGCCTGCAGCTGTAGGAAACAGAATCTGTGCCGAATACAGCATGGCAGGAAAAATTAAACTGTTGGAAACTGTTTAATCATTAACCACCAAATCCACATCGTAAGAGGATTTAAACATAAGCTTCTCCTGTGATATCTTTTAAGCTGATTTTTCAGTTAATGTCAATAGTTTGGGAATAGTTTTGCTTCTCAGAACTTGTTTGAACTTCTTAAAAGGAGTAATGACTGTGTATCTGATTTAGATTATCTTTATCACTGTCACTCGTTTTGTTTTATTTTGACTCTTTAATCATTTGGCAGTTGTAAAAATGCAATTGTGGGTCAGCTCAGAATTCACAGACTTGGTGTTTATTTATTGCAGTTGGTCTGTTCAGGTTCAGGATGAGAGTCTCTGTCTCAGTAAAAGCATGTGTTCATTTTTCTGAACAAGGTACTTGGCACGAGTTACTGACATTGAAGCTACAGACACCAGTAGCCCCAATGTGAACTACGGTATCGTGGTGGACTGTGGTAGCAGTGGGTCTCGAATATTCGTCTACTGCTGGCCAAGGCACAATGGCAATCCTCATGATCTGTTGGATATCAGACAAATGAGGGATAAAAACCGGAAGCCAGTGGTTATGAAAATAAAACCCGGTACGTAAAAGATAAATATCTGATTGATAATCGGGTTCTGTCCTTTCTCTGTGAGGTCTTTCATGTCCTCCTCTCCCTCTCCCCGCAGTATTGCCCTGGTTCAGAGCTCACACCAGGACCTGATTGTTTCACTTTCTTTCCCCTCTTCTGTCCATCCCGCATGAGGCGATTAACTCCTTGATAAAATATCCAAAACCCTGTCTTTCTTGTGTCTTCTGCAGCATTTATCACAGTGCCTTACTCATGTGTCTACTCAAGTGTTTGCTAGTTGACATTAATTATGGAGGGATTTTTTTTTCCCCTATTTGGTAGCCATTGGTCTCTATACCTAAAGACAGGGTAATTTCAGATAACTCATGGATATCTGTACTCTGATACATTGGTATGTATTTCTTTTTTTTCCCCTCATTTTTAAAAAGTGCTCCAATATATTTCTTTTTTTTTTTAAGATTTTATTTATTTGAGAGAGAGAGCGAGAGCGCATGTGCACAGGTGGGGGAGGGGCAGAGGGAGAGAGAGAATCTCAAGCAGACTGAGTGCAGAGGGAGCCCTGAGATCATGACCTGAGCCCAAACCAAAAGTCATACACTTAACTGACTGATCCACCCAGGCGCCTCCCCCAGTATATTTCTAATCATCTACATTATTTAATAAGAGTGACTATAGAACTTAGAAGAGCTGATGTTATTATGTCCAGTTTTTAAAGCTATCACAGTTTCTAAGTCCATGTGTTGTATAAAAATTGGGATTTGCTTTCTCCATTAAACAGTTTAAATCGGTGGTTCTCAACCTTTTTCTGTATGTACACCATTCCCATGGGCATTGCCCTTCTGACAGAAGTATTAGGAATGGAAGGTGTCCAGGAGTACCTTGCATTAGGAATTTTATGTCTTGATAGTTGATAATCACTGACTTAAGCTGGACCACAGGGGTGCCTGGCTGGCTCAGTTGGAAGAGCATGTGCCTCTTGATCTCAGGGTCATGAGTTCGAGCCCCATGTTGGATGTGGGGATTACTAAAACAATAAAATAAACTTAATAAAACAGAGGACCACAGATCTTAATAGAGATTCAGCACTTTTATTTCATCTTGCTAGTATGTTAAATAGTAAAATATTAAACCCAAACAACCCAAGGAATTTATCTTGTAAAATATTAGAGAATGTTGATAAAAAAATAATTATCTTAGTTTATGCTCTCCTATTTCAAATATGTAAATGTAAAGGAGGTTCAGTTTTAATGATAAAATACCTTTCCTCATAAAATGGTTCCTAATGACATTGACTGTGGGCTCTTTGAGTCCTCCCTATTCTTCACTGAATAATTTAGGCCCCACTTCCTTCTTTAGGCAACCCTTAACAAGTTGATTATTCTTTGGTGTTTGGGCAGCTGGGCACCAGCATATTGCTCAGAAAATCTAAAACCTCTACCTCATTTCTTAGGTTAAAGAGAGGGAACTTAATCTGAGTCTCTCATATAAGCATTATTTTGATGTCAAAGTACATCTCTATGAACAAAGATCATCTTTTTTCTGTCTTAATGAATGACTGAAATTTTAGTTTTCTGTTATCCCATTCCTTAAATTTTGCTGTATTCCTAATCTAGAAACATTTTCAGGGTTAAAGTAATGTTGATCAAATAAAAAATTCACCAGAAGACTGAAAACTAGAACTGTATAAAGCACATTGCATTTCATCTAGCTTCACATACCAGGCTCCATCAAGTGATTAAACTGCTCACATGAAATAAGATAAAATCTTTCATGCCTTGGAGTTGTCCTTTGGGACATCATCCCGGGCTTAACATGGTTCTTTCTGATGCTACAGAAAGTGTTGGAAGTAGAAATTCAAGTACCTTTTTATAGCACTTCTCCGTCCTGAAGCAGGGACTCTCATGTATAGCATTTCAGCAAAGCTCTCGAAATTTCCTCACTTAATAGATTCTGGATAGGTTGGGGCTTGGCGTCTGTTAAAACAGCATTGTATGTGGAGTAACAAAAAATCTGACTTTTGGTCTGTTTTCTGCTGATTGCTCTGACAAATCACTTAATCTTTCTGGATCCACAGTTTCCTAATCTGTGAAATGAGAAATTTTTGGACTTCTAAAATTTGAAGCCAGGAAGACACCCTTTGTATAGGGAATGGTCGAGGGATCGCCAAGACTGGAGGGGAGGATATGTTGCATCAGGCTGCCAGAAGGGAGGAGGAGAAGTGAAATAATGTGAGAGGAACCAGGAGAGGCAATCAGTGACACCCAGAACACATACTGGGGGAGGGAGAGGGATTTTATCCAGAATCCTGGCTTGGGCTGCTGGTTGGCTAGTGATGGTGGTCACTGGGGTAGGTCACAAGCAGCAAGAGTAGATTTGTAGTGGAAGTTGAGTTCAGGTTTGTATATGTGTATATGTTGAGTTTGGGGGTCTGTGAGGACAAGACCTGGCCATGTCTAGTGGACAGTTCTCACATACTGATCTGGAGGTTGGGAATGTGATCTGGGGGCTGCTGGTGAGATTTGGAGATCTGAGACACAAAGATAGTGGTGGCAGCCAAAGGAATGAGTGAGCTTGCCTGAACAAAGTGGGAACCTGTTCTGGAGGGCAGGCGCGTGAGCTCATGTGCTGTTGGTCCCAGTGTCTGACACATAGTGGTTGCTCAATTGGGTCTGTTTTTTCGAGACTGAGAAGAGAGCATAAGACTGAACATTTAGTACCACCACCATGTAAGGAAGAGAGACTGTGGAGGTTGTTGCTAGAGGGAGAGGGAAAAACTAGGAGAGTGTGGTGTATAGCCAGAATTTCTCTCAAATGAGCCACATTGAAGAAACATAACTTGTTAATTAACTGCTTGTTAACAGAAGTGTCCTTTTTTCTGTAGGCATTTCAGAATTTGCTACCTCTCCAGAGAAAGTCAGTGATTACATTTCTCCACTCTTGAACTTTGCTGCAGAGCATGTACCACGGGCAAAACACAAAGAGACGCCTCTCTACATTCTCTGCACAGCTGGAATGAGAATCCTTCCTGAAAGGTGATCCTCTGCATGGGGTCAGGGCAGGCCAGGCCCCGGGGGGTGGCCGTGATTGTTGGTGCTGGTGGTAGTAGTGGTGTATGTATTCCCCACCTCCCCCCCGTCCCTTTTCCTTCTCTTCCTCCTCTTCCGTTATCATCACCGAAAGGAAGACAGTATAAATTCTTTCTTCAAATTTGGAATAGTACCACAACTGTTCCAGAACTTAGCCAGAACTCACCAAAAATCGTTTTATGTATCTGTTTATTACTACAAATAGTAAACTATAAAGTAAACAATAAACTATAACCTATAAAGTGGTCATAAAAAAAAACCCTGATTTTGTGTGTTATTAATTTAACGATTGCAGTTGTAGTTTTACATCTGGGAATCACAGAATTGACACAACTCATGAAATTCCTTCCTAAAATAGTTTTATTCGGTGAATTATTTTGGATTTAAAATTTACTGTTTTTGTACAGGATATACCAGAGCCATAGTTTTTGTTTTGTTTTCTTTTGCTTTTTCCTCTTTTTAAAACAGAAAAATGTAGGCTCCATTTTGATGTGTCAATTTTGGGGTTGTCTTCCAGCCAGCAGAAAGCCATCCTGGAGGACCTCCTGACTGATATCCCTGTGCACTTTGACTTTCTGTTTTCTGACTCTCATGCAGAAGTCATTTCAGGGAAACAAGAAGGTTGGTATATTGATCTTCAACTTGAAATTTGGGAAGTTACTCCTTTAAATCCTCCCCGTTTTTCCCAGTGTATGCTTCATTAAATTACTTTTACTCTCTTAAAATTTAGGAAATCATAGCCTTGAAATATTATTTTTAAATGGCAAAATTAGTTTCTTATATGACTGGTCTTTATTATCCAAACATTAAGCCATTTAAAAAATAGCTTAGTTTGTCTTTATCACATCCAGGAAACATACATTGGATTCATTTTGATAGAAAAGGTTTGTGTTCCTTGCCTAAGGTATACAGCTTTTTGTAATACGATAATTGCTGCATTATTGGAGCTTTCTGTTGATTTATTTGCTACAAAGGGGAAATTATTCTTGACTTTGATACACTGGGAAAATATTAGTTCTGTTGTCACGTAAATGATTCTACTTGAGAATGAAGTGACAAGTCAATGAAATATTATTTGGAGAAGAGTTTGCCGGAAATAGAGACCAAAGCATTTATTTCAAAATCATCTATCATTTCAGCAAATACCTCCTCCGTCAAAGGCACTGTAGAAAATACAAGCTGGGTGAAATTCAGATACTGCCATTGAGCTGTTTACAGACAAGTGAGGTACACAGTTAGCTGCCATATGAGGTAGAGTCTTAGGTGCCATAAGGAAGGTTAGGAAAAAGTACCATGAGAGTTTGAAAAAGGGAGTTTTTTTTTTTTTTTCCTTGCTAGGGACATCATGGAGCAAGTGACGATTTAAACTGTGCCCCCGGGGATAGCTAGTTATAAGCATGCTGGAGCATGGTAAGGGTAGGGCTCTGAGAGAGAGACAGGAAGTACATTCTAAGCAGAAGAAATGATTTGAGGCAGCATAGGTTAGAAAAGCTGCACTGTGGACAGGGGAACAAAAATAGTTGGAGTGGCTTATGGCCCTTTTGAAAGGTGGTAGTAATATAAAAAGTTGCCCAGGTCTTGGTGATGTCAGTGTCATGGCAACGTGAGTTGCTCCTTTTTTCTCTCCCTTTTGATTTAAAACTAATCAGACATCCATAACCCAGAAAAAGCAGCTCTGCATAGGACACCCAACAGACCCATCCATCTGAATATGGGTGGCTTGAACCTCAGAGGAGGCCATGGAGCCAGGCAAGTGGCAGCAGGCGCAGCAGTGGACCAACACAATTTTCCTAGCAGAGGAGGTGGAGGGTGAAGGTGGTGAGTTAGGGGTTTACCTGACAACACGTGCCAGCGATCTCTCTGAGCAGAGATTGCAGTGACTGAGAGGAGGGAAAGGAAAAGGAGGAAGGCACAGAGAATGTGTTTCCCGCTGTCTGCCCCAGGATTCTGGCAAGAGGATCACCCATGGACCTGAGATCCCCACCCCCACTTGCAGATCCCCTACCAGGCTGTGGGCACATTCAAAGCCCCAAGTACTAAGCACACACTTCCACCAACTCTGCGGTCACCTTTTTTTTTAAATTACCAACTGTTGAACTGTTAGGATCAAAGTAAAAAAAGCCTTACCTAAATAAGAAGGGTGTCCACAACTTGATATGCAGCAGAAAGAGCACTTTTTATCAAACACTGAAAAATCATGTTAATATGGTATCACAAAAAGAACATGGCAGTTTTCCCAGTAATTGAGCCCAAAGACATGGAATATTTAAATCTAACTGATAAAGAATTTAAAATACTATTATAAAGGAATTCAGTGAGCTCTAAAGAAAACTCAAGCAAATACAGTGATCTCAGGAATAAAATGAATAAACAGAAGGAGTACTTTACCAAAGAGATTAAACTTCTAAAAAACCAAACATTCTGGAGGTGAAGAATTCAATACATGAGATGAAGAATGCACTAGAATGCATTGGAAATAGAGCAGATGGAGGAGAGAATAAGCAAGCTTGAGGATGGGAATATGGAAATGGTTCCCTTAAAAGGAGGAGCAAGACCTAACATATTTAAAAAGTGAAGAAACCCTATGAGAACTTTCAGACTCCATGAGAAGAACCAACATAAGATTAGAGGGTATCCCAGGAGAAGAGAGGGTATTTAAAGAAGTAATAGAGAACTTCCCAAACCTAGGGAAGGAACTGGATACACAAGTCTATGAGGCTAATAGACCACCTTATTTATCTCAGTGCAAAAAGACCTTCTCCAAGACACACCAGATTAAAACTGTCAAAAGTCAGTGATAAATTATTCTGAGGGAGACTAGGGAGAAAAAAAGACAGTAACCTACAAAAGAAGTCCTGTCAGAGTATCAGCAGATTTCTCAGTGGAAACTCTGCAGGCCAGGAGAGAGTGGAATGACACTTTAAAGTATTGAAAAATACAAATTGCCAGCTGGGAATACTCTATCTGACAAAGTTATCCTTTGGATATAAAGTATAAAGGCGAAATAAAGGCTTTCCCGGACAAACAGAAGCTAAGGGAGTTAGACAGACAACTTAAAAGAAATGTTGAAAGGAGCTTTTCAAGCTGAAATGAAAAAATGAAAAGAGGAAGGTACACCAAAGTCTAATTAAGGTGATAAATAGAAAAACTAACTTTTTTAGAATAATATATTAAACAAGGAAAAGGTTAAAAGAAAACATTAAAAGTAACCATAGCTACTATAACTTGGTCACAACATCACAGCATAAAAAGATAATTTGTGACATCAAAAATATAAAAGGGGAAGAATAAAAGGTTGGAAACTTTATAGGCGAACAAAAATAAATTGCTACCCATAGAAAAAAGACTGTTCTACCTACGAGATGTTTTATGTAAACCTCATGGTAACCACAAAGCAAACATCAGAACAGAGAGACACAAAACATAAAAAGGGAGACTAAAACTGCAAACATTTTTTTTTAATTT